TGAACCCGGGTTCATTTTTGCCACGGACGAGTATGTTAGCAGCAAGTGAACCTGGGTTTATGTTTGCCACAGACGAATCTTATGTTAATACAAAGTGAACCTGGGTTTATTTTTTCCATGGACGAGTCTATGTAAGCAGCAAGTGAACCCGGGTTCATTTTTGCCACGGACAAGTATGTTAGCAGCAAGTGAACCCGGGTTCATTTTTGCCACGGACAAGTATGTTAGCAGCAAGTGAACCCGGGTTCATTTTTGCCACGGACAAGTATGTTAGCAGCAAGTGAACCCGGGTTCATTTTTGCCACGGACGAGTATGTTAGCAGCAAGTGAACCTGGGTTTATGTTTGCCACAGACGAATCTTATGTTAATACAAAGTGAACCTGGGTTTATTTTTTCCATGGACGAGTCTATGTAAGCAGCAAGTGAACCCGGGTTCATTTTTGCCACGGACAAGTATGTTAGCAGCAAGTGAACCCGGGTTCATTTTTGTCACGGACAAGTATGTTAGCAGCAAGTGAACCCGGGTTCATTTTTGCCACGGACGAGTATGTTAGCAGCAAGTGAACCTGGGTTTATGTTTGCCACAGACGAATCTTATGTTAATACAAAGTGAACCTGGGTTTATTTTTTCCATGGACGAGTCTATGTAAGCAGCAAGTGAACCCGGGTTCATTTTTGCCACGGACAAGTATGTTAGCAGCAAGTGAACCCGTGGCAAAAAAAATAAATTGAAAATTTCATATAAATATTGTACAGTTAAACCTGTATATAGCGCTTTCCTCTCTATAGCGCCTGATTTTAAATATGCGTAGTACGATGCGATTTACATTAAAAGTGACCTGTCTATAGCACCCTATTTTGGTGAGTCCCAAGAGGGGGCGCTATAGAGATTTAACTGTACTTCCAACTGACATTTTGTTACAAAAAGTTTGCACTGTATACTGGGATATCTGATGGATTTGGAGACCACCATGGTTCATTTTTGTCACGGACAAGTATGTTAGCAGCAAGTGAACCCGGGTTCATTTTTGCCACGGACGAGTCTATGTAAGCAGCAAGTGAACCCGGGTTCTTTTTTTTGCCACAAACAAGTATTTTAGCCCAAAGTGAACCTGGGTTCATTTTTTACACCAACGTGTCCATGTTTGGTGAACCTGAATTTGGGTTCATTTTTTCCGCGAACTAGTTCAAGATAGCTGCACTTGAACCTGTCGACAAAAGTGACTGCTATTTAAATCCAAAAAACCAACCCCTCCATTACACAAATATCCTTTATCAATTTTATTGCCAAAAAAAAAAATAAATTGAAAATTTCATATAAATATTGTACAGTTAAACCTGTATATAGCGCTTTCCTCTCTATAGCGCCTGATTTTAAATATGCGTAGTACGATGCGATTTACATTAAAAGTGACCTGTCTATAGCACCCTATTTTGGTGAGTCCCAAGAGGGGGCGCTATAGAGATTTAACTGTACTTCCAACTGACATTTTGTTACAAAAAGTTTGCACTGTATACTGGGATATCTGATGGATTTGGAGACCACCCTGGGATGTCCCACTGTGATGTTGTACAGAGCCATGTTGTCATCCATTTAGATATGGTCAGGGCCATATCTAAACATGAAGCCAAAAATGAAATTAAAAAAAAAAAACTTATCAATTCTTCTTTCAAATAAATTTTATAAAAAGGGACACTTTCAAACTACAATAAATAACTCTCAAACAAGGACTCTCCTGAAATCATTAGAGGTTAGGTTGTGACAACCACTTTAATTTTCCAAAGGTGGATGTTCATCAAATGGTTCTCACTTTAGAAAGAATAAAAAAAGAAATAGAGCTGATTAGCATAGTCCTTGTAAGATTTTTAAAGCATTACAACTACTTCAGGGTATATCAGGTAAATTGGGAATAGCAACAATGGAATTTTGACTGAAATTATTGCAAGTAAAAATAAATAAATTGAAATATATGGAATTTAGTGCAGTAGTAAACAAAAGGATATAGTTTTGATTTATTCAATGTATTCAATGTCATTATTAGCTACAACAGTCTCCGGGCGAGTGCGGAATGAAGCACAGGCCTTGGTGACCATGTCTATTTGGGTCATCACCATGAGTACTGCTTTCTTGACAGACTGGATGGTGTTGTGGGGAGCTTTGTTGATATCTCTCTCAACAATACATAGTGGTTGAGGGGTTGCAGTCTGGAGAGTTAGGAGGCCAAATATCAGGACTCCAGTGACTGGGTACATTAAGTGTCAGTCACAATTTTTTTGCCTTGTTGGCCGGAGTTGTAATGTTGGAAGACATACTTCCTACCTGCAGCCACTATATCCACCCAAGGCTTCACAATGGTTTCCAGGACATTGATATAGTTGCTGGCGTTCATCCTAAGGCCCTTCTCAAAGAAATAGAGATAACGACATCACAGTCACTGCTGATAACACCAAGGATCGTCACAGAGGTAGGAAATTTCGTGTGCATCACAACAGATACCTTTAAGGGGTCTTCACAGATCCAGTTTTCATTGCTAGGATTTACCTTTTGGTCCATGTCAAAGTTCTTGTTGTTAAGGAGGGCAGCAGCCTTTCCTTTTCTCATATTCTCAGTCAGCAACTGGCCTTTCTGAAGGACTTGAGACCAGATCTTCATGGATAGTTCTGACAATTGTCATAGAGCCAACACCCATTTCCTTGTCTATGGCCCTCATGCTCTTCCCAAGATTTCCTTCAATTTTCACCTTAACATGATAAAGCACAATTTGGATTATAAACACAAGGTAATAAGACCAAATCCAAGACCAAAGTATTTGGATTTGGTCTTTTTACCTTGTATTTTTCTTCTTTACATTTTTGACAAATTCCTCACCTCTTACCCTGTTTCGACGCAGGTGCTTTTTCCTTGCACCTTTGTTACTTTCGGCCTCATCAAACTGCTTCTTGACAAGATAAAAGTGGTTTGGGCCAACTTCTAAACTCTCTCTCTCGGACACCTTCTGGAGTGTGCAGAGCAACAATATGATGGGGTTGCTTAATTTTCAAATTATTGTTTATTGTTCATAACTGCATACACTTGGAATGTTACATTTTATATGAATACGACTATGTAATGAAAAAAAAAGCAAATTTTGTAAAATCTAAAGTATGGTTAGGTTTAATTTGGATTATAGATTAGATACACAAGGTAGTAATAAGGTAATACAAAGTACATTAATCAAATCTTCCAGGACTGAGTAAAAAATAAAATTAAAAAAAAAGTTAGAGAGAAATTTTTTTATACAGTTAAATACTGGACATTTGACCACACCTGACTGAAAGCACGAGTCTCGTGGCATGTGCATATCTATAAAAATAACTTCCTGGTATGGATCATATTTCTATTTTTAAAATGGCCGTTTCCGAAGAGTTTATTTTAAATTGAAAAAAGTGCTACTGAGATGCATGAATGGATTAAAGAAGCTTTTGGCAATGCTGCATTATCCCATTCAAGAACTTTTGAATGGTTTTCATGCTTCATAAAAATGCCAGGAAAAGGTAAACAATGATCAACATACTGAGCATCCAAAAACATTACGTTGCGAGGAAAACAAGCTCTAAGGAATTAATCAAATCTAATGGAAGAATTTCTATTAAAGGCTTATATTTACAGAATGGGCTATCTTTAGGACTGTCATCAAATAATAACAAAAGAATTGGGCATGATCCAGATGTCTTCAAAATTTGTTTCCCGGATTCTAACTGAGGTTAGAATGGAAGTCTGCCAAAACATGATTGAAATGACTTGGATTGATCCAGAGTGGAGATGAGACATGGGTGTATCAGTATGACCCAGAAACCCAAATGTCAATCCAGCCAATGGATTGAAAGAGGAGAGCCAAAGCCTAAAAAGGCAACAACAACAAAAAGCCTTTATTTAGGGTCACTGACCCTATACAGGATTCACCAGAGGTATGCATAAGGCCTAAAAAGGCAAGATTTACAAAATCCAAAGACTTTGCTTGTTACATTTTTGGATATTAACAGTTTGGTCCACCAAGACCTGAAAGATGGCAAAACAATGACTGGATACTTCACGTCAATATAATGTGCGACCGCACATTTGACAATGTTAATATGGTACATCTTGATGAGGAACCCCTCAAAAGATGATTTTATCTCCTGCTTCAACAATGGAAAAAAAATATGGCACAGGTGTATTGAGGCAGAAGGGACATCTTTTTTAAAATATTTATTTATTTTCTTTTAATATGTGGTGACAATCCTGGAAATTAACACATCTTGTATTTATTTGGATTTGATCTTATTACCTTGTGTATTTGATCTAAAGTACTCTTTGTCCTAAGAACTGCTAAAGTTATTCCCAAATTTACCCAATACACCCTGTATAAGGGAAGGTTACAGAGATTATAACATGAACCTATCAATATTTGTTGTCAGTACAACTACTACAATGAAAAGGTACAGAGAAGATAACACTACCCCTTGTCAAAAAAAACTGATGGGTCCATGTTATCAGACCCATTAGTTTTTGTTAGCAGGGGGTCAGTGGAAGTGTGGTCTAAACTGTTGATTTTCGACTAATACGACCTGGGATCGAATCCCGCATTGGGCACTTTTTTTCCGATTAAAAACAATGCTCCAATGGTCCCTGATTCTTGCAAAAGTCCAACCCCACAGGCAAGTGCAAGTAACCAAACAGGACTCTGGTACATTTGTAGTGAAAAAATCTAACTGCTTTTCACATGTGTAGACATGTGGGACACTTACAGTAAAAGCAGTCGCTAACTACCCACGATGATTTTCATGGTCTGTACCACGTGTACTAGGGATAATTAAAAAAATCTTATTTACAGTGATATTGTTTTACTACGGGACTGCAGAAAATCTGTATTGGTGACTATTCTGTTTTATGAATGTCAACTTCATGTTTAAAATTGACTTCTATTAACCCAACACAACAATCAAGTAATGACTAAAATAAAATTGTAGGGTCTCTGAAATCACAATTAGCCTGAGGGGGTCGGTGGAAGGCTGGTTAAACCGTTTGGTTTTCGACCACTAGGACCCGGGTTCGATTCCCGCATTGGACACTTTTTTCTGTTTAAAGAAAAAAAAATGCTCCAATGGCCCCCGATTCTTGCAAAAGTCCAACCCCACCAGCAAGTGCAAGTAACCAAACTGGGCTCTGGCATATTTGTAAGTGCAAAGTTGAACTGCTTTTCACATGTGTAGACATGTGGTGTGCTTACAGTAAAAGCAGTCGCTAACTACCCACCATGATTATCATGGCCTGTACCACGTGTACTAGGGATAGGCCAAAAAAAAAAAATTAGCCTGGAAAATTTGAGGGAAAAAGCCAAGGTCAGGAAGTTCAGAAACAGCCCAGTTCCAAGAAATGAATCTGTATCAGAGGGAAATTTGTCACTAAATGATTATTAGACAAAAGACAAGATGCAAAAGATCATATGATAAACACAAGGTAATATAAGACCAAATAAATAAATAGTGTGACATTTCAGTAACAGCATTGTTACCATCTTCAGACTGAATCATGTAGTCTTTTGTTTGATTTATGTGAGCAATAGTTACCCAAAAATTATTTAAAAAAATAAAAATTCAGGTAAAAAGTTTCTTTTAATTGTATATTTGCAAAATTTCAAGCAAATATACTGTTCTTCAACGGGCTCTATGTACAATCTCTTAATAATCTTTATACAAAATAATTGAAAACCTTTGTTATTGGTATGTACGGGCGTGCATCAGATTGCTCACAGCTAAGGCTCGATAAGTAGATGCCTTTTTCTTAATTTATGCACCTTATCCCAGTACAATATTATATTTGTACTATTTTTTCACATTTTGTAGCGTTCTCACGCAATTCTAGCCTTAACTACCCGTTTCATGATTTTTCAGGATGCCTTAATGACCAATTTTTTGGTCGTTGAGGTACAGCTTGCACCACGCTGATGAGGGCCAACAGCCCGAAACGAGTCCGTGGTTAGCTTTTCTTGATTAATCAAGAATGGGTATTTGACCAATTCTGGAATAATTAAAAATCAACGAGAATAGTTGATATTTATTCCGATAGATGGCGCAAGCCATCAGCAACTTTCAGTTGCACGATAAGTAGATGCCTTTTTCTTAAAGTAATAGATATTATACTGGGATGAAATATATATATATACACGGAAATAATTATTAATAATATTTAGATAATTAGTCAGGGATGATATTGTTATTTGTTTGATTTAATTAATATTATCTGGTGCTTGGAGAGTTGATGAGCCAGAATTTTCTATCACAGTAAGAATGGTGAAAGGGAGGAAGGATTATGAAATTAAATATATTCACACATGTATGATAGGATTTTATTATGGGGCTCTGACACATTTGTAAGTGCAAAGTTGAACTGATTTTCACATGTTTAGACATTTTGTGCTCTTACAGTAAAAGCAGTCACCAACTTCTACCCACCATGATTATAATGGCATGTACCACCTGTACTAGGGATAAGCAAAAAAAAAAAAGGATTATATTTCTTCTATACAGAAGATGGCTTATAAATAAAAGGTAATAAGAACAAATCCAAATTAATAAATAGTGTGTGACATTTTGGTAACAGCATTGTTTCCATCATCAGACTGAATCATGCAGTCTTTTGTATGATGGTAAAAAAAAAACGCTGTTGCCGAAACGTCACAATATTTATTTATTTGGATTTGTTCATTTTACCTTTCAATTCTATCAATATATATCAATACCTTTCAATAAAAAAAAATTATCCCCAGTACAAGTGGTACAGGCCATGATAATCATGGTGGGTAGATGTTGGTGACTGCTTTAACTGTAGGTGCATCACATGTTTACCCATGTGAAAAGCAGTTCAACTTTGCACTTACAAATGTGGCAGAGTGCTGTTTGGTTACTTGCACTCGCTGGTGAGGTTAGGCACCGTTAGTCAGCCACATTTCAGAGTAGGCCTTCACAGTTACTGTAGCAGCTCGGGGCTTACAAAGTCCCCACCGTATTTCACCCTGCAGGGCAGTCCCTTACTTTGCTGCTTCTCCAGCCCGCTACGTAGAGGAGGACTTCTGAGTGGGATCTTGATTGTAAAATATATATATGTCATAATTTGTCTAATGCCCAAGAGATATAATTTATTTTCGCTATAATTAATATGTTAAAATGTAAATACAAATTCACCCATCTATAAATCTGTACAAAATAAACGTGGGAGCCTGCGCGCGTGGGCGAAGGCTACGGCACACCGCCGCGCGTTCACAAGTGTGGAACAAGTTCTTTTTCGAAGCATACATGCACAATGGTCACGCCCTTCCATTCGACCACAACGGCTACTACATATATTTAAAAGGTATAGTAGAACTGTAAAATCTTTGTTTACGTAATGTAATTAGCAAACGTATTATAAGATTTATTTATGGGGATTGTTGTTAGTATTAGATAGCGTTAGTTCTTTTGTTTACATTCTATATCGAACTCAACTGTGTTGCTGAGTACGATATTAACTATATTACATCTCTCCTTTTTTATAAATCCATTCTTTTTGGTGGCTTCAACTGGCGACCGCTTCTTGTGAACTTCTGCACCTCTCTGGTCTCCTCCTCTCCAGCTGGATTATCAATTTCCGACTGCAGCTCCATCCTGTCAGAACCTTTAGGCTGAGTTTCTTGATCTTGCTCCAAAGTTGAACAAGCACTTCCACTGGGTTCTTGCTCAAGGATGCTTTCATGGTCTCTTTGGGATTGGTTAGTTGTAATATGTGATTGGTTTCTTCTGTAGAGTCCTTTGTTGTTCTGGACTGTATAGGACCTTGGACCATCTTCTCGAACTATTGTGGCTGGTTTCCAGTTTCTTCTGTTTTCTCTTAAATAAACTTCTTGTCCAATCTTGAAAGTTGGTTCGTCTCTTGATCCTTTGTCATAGTAGAATTTCTGCTTGTTTCTGGATCTTCTTAGCTTTAAAGTGACATCTTTTTGGATGCAAGGTCTTAGCAATTCTTTGCTGATTGGCAAGATTGTCTTTGTTCTTCTTGAAAGTAGTCTTTGTGCTGGTGATCCCATGTCTTCTCTTGGAGTATTTCTATAGTTGAGCAATGCAATCTGGATATCATCTCCACTTTGTTTGCATTTTCTAAGAATGTTCTTTGCTATTTGCACAGCTCTTTCAGCCAGTCCATTTGATTTAGGGTAATGTGGAGTTGAAGTCTTGTGATTAAACTTCCATTTGTTGCTGAATTCATTAAACTCTCTTGAAGCATAATTTCTTCCATTATCTGTCTCCAGAACTTTAGGAATTCCATGTATGCTAAAGTTTCTTTTGAGAAATCCAATGGTATCTTGAATTTATGGTGTTAATAGGTTCAAAGTTTATGAATCCAGAATAACTGTCTATAATCACAATGTATTCATTCCCTTCAAATTGAAAGATATCTGATGCGACAATTTCCCATGGGAGCTCAGGAATTTCTTTTAGCATTAGGGGTTGTTTTTGTTTGTCTCTTTGTGTAGCTATGCATGTCTTGCAATTTTCTACCATTTCAGAGATATCTTTGGACATTCCTGCCCAATAAATGGAGTCTTTGGCTCTTTTGGTACAACCAGTAATGCCTAGGTGGCCTTCATGTATCTGTTTGAGAACTTGTTTTTTGATTGATTCTGGTATTATTATTTTGGTTCCCCTCAGAACTAGGTCTTCATGAATGGAAAGTTCATCTTTTATATTCCAATATCTTCTGCAAGATAGAGGAACTAGTGACTTTTGGTCTGGCCATCCTTGGATTATTGTTTCTTTTAGTTCTTGTAATTCTGCATCTTCCTTTGTAGCTTTCATGATGTTGGTTGTTGATCTATTGTCAAATGCAGTAATTAAAAGGATTTCTATTGGATTTTCTTCTAGAATCTCATATGATTTGCAATCTCGACTCAGTAAGTCTGCAATCAAGAGCTCCTTTCCACTCTTGTATTTAATATTTGGTCCATATTGATTAATTTCCATGAATATTTTTTGAAGTCTTGGTGGCATTTTATCCATTGGTTTTTTGTAAATGGATTCTAACGGTCGATGGTCTGTTTCTATTAAGAGAGATTTACCATATATATAGGTATGGAATTTCTTACAACCAAATTTAATTGCCAGAGCTTCTTTTTCTATTTGAGGGTAATGCCTCTGAGCATCATTTAATGCAGAAGAAGCATACGCAATTGGTCGATCTTCTTGGAGTAAGACTGCTCCAATGGCATGTTGGCTTGCATCAACCGAAAGTACCACATCTTTGTTAGGATCATAATACTTTAGGGTTGGCGCTTGTTTTAATAAGTCTTTTATTCTTTCCATATCCTTGTCCATCAAGCTGTCCCATTGCCATTCTGTGTTTTTCTTCAGAAGCAATCTCATTCTGTATGTTATCTCTGAGAGATTTGGGATGAATTTATGTAAGTATTGAACCATTCCCAAAAGTCTTTGTAATTCTTTTTTGTTTGATGGTGACTTGATATTGTCAATGGCTTTGACTTTTTCTTCATCTGTTTTTATTCCATCACTGGTGAAGATATGTCCCAAGAACTTTATTTTTGTTTTTTCAAATTCACACTTGTCCTTATTGAGTCTTGCTCCAGCTTCCTGAAGAGTAGTCATGACTATTTTAGTTCTTTCACTCAGTGTTTGGATGTCTTCAGCATGGATGAGTATGTCGTCCATTGAGTTTTCTACACCAGGTATATTCTCTACAATCTTGGATATGGTATTCTGGAAAATCTCCGGGGCAGTTTTAATTCCAAATGGGACTCTAAGGAAAGCATAACGCCCCCAAGGTGTGCTGAAGGTCATGTAAGGTTGTGTTTCCGCAGCAACCTTCAATTGCCAAAAGCCTTTTAAGAAGTCAAGCTTTGTGAAGTATTTTGAATTTTTGATATTGGAAGCTATGTCCTCTATCGTTCTTAGTGGGTAGTGTCTTCTTAGCAGGATCTTGTTTAGATCTGATGGATCAATGCAAATTCTATATTTCCCGCCTTGTTTCACTACCACCATGTGGCTTGAGACAGGTGTCGGTTCTTCCATTCTTTTTATCACC